CACACACACACACACACACACCCTAGGCTAGGTAATACATTTGTTATAAAGCCTTCTCCTGACGATGCAAAATGACATGTTGCCCTCTCTGTTTCCCAGAGCTCTGACAACAAGCAGAAACCTCACTCCTGACTCACTGTGGACAGCCTACAAGATCAAGCGTATTTTTTTTGTTATGAAAATCATCAGCCCACTTCTTACAGTACATTGCCCTGAATTATCATTTAAAACTTGTTTCCATAACAGCAAAGCCCCTGCACTGCCTTCTTTTTGACAGAAACACTACAATAAAAAGAAAGCCATCAGAGAGTGTAACTTATGAAAAAAAAGAAAAATCATGACAGTGAAATCCCAGCAGTACACAAAGGCAAGCAGCTTTGTGGGATTAAAAATTACTGCATGAAGTCTTAAAGAACAGTGCCAACAAGTCTTGCATCACAAATCATGAAATTCAGCATCCCAGGAGAATGGCAATCGATAACTGACTTACTGACTTTGCATGAAATCCCAGCAAAAACGTACAGAGCATTGAAATAATAACACTGCTTCACTGACGCACGCTACAGCTGTCAGCCTGCTCTCATAGCAAAAGTTGAAGTGGTCACGTACAAGCACTGTCTTTGTTCACGTTCACGAACACAAATTCTCACATGTTTTCACGTCAGTCAGCACGACTTTGAGACTGAAATGTATTTTGAGTCTGCGATGCACAGGTTATCCAGACTCCTCAATGGGAAACACTCCATCACGGAAACCACAAATACAAGCTTTAAAACATGCTGCATTTATTACATGTGTTCCTGTATTTTTATTATAACGATTTAACCTGGCAGGAGTTACATATGTTCACATTAAGCAGTTATAGCGTTTAATTATGAGGAGAGCATGCACACCAGCGTGAGCTGATTCTCCATCCCTTGCTGAGATTTTTACTTTCCAAATCCTGATTCACGCATTTAAGACTGCTTCCATGCAGGAAGCAATTCGCTCATCATGCACTGCATTGTTGCTGATGGTTTGTCTCTAGTTTACTCTAGGCTTCACCTGCCAACGTAATCCTGTAATTTATTCAACAGCCTGTAACATGTCAATCGATGGCATGCTTTGCTCTCTGGCTGAAGTTGAGATTTGCCCACTTTGTCTCTCAAGCAATTATTTTGTCTTTGTACGTAACAAAATAATTTATTGTATTATGCAATAGTAATGTAAACTATATAAAGTATTGCAAAATTTTAGTAACTATAAAATAGTTAGGATAACAAAAAACAGAATTACAGTAGCACTGTAGCAAACTGGCTGATGTTATCAGGATTAAAAATCATGACCAGATTATAAAAACGAAATAAGGGAAAAAAGACAAAAGATTTTGAAAAATCATAACTTGTAAAGCAGACACTATAGATTCAGATAATTCAGTTAAAATACGGGACTAAAGAGATGCGTCAGTCACTCCTGAATCATTCTGTGACAGCGAGCTGGAAATCATCCAGGCAGAGATGTGTCACGAGAGTGGCTCAGAGAGGTTCCAAGGTTGCTATTTATTCCTGAATGCATCTCTCACTCTGCAGAGATCAGCGGTCAGCAGATGGGCCGAATGCTATCAGCCTGTTCCCCTCCCCTGCTTTGTCGTGGCCCAACACAACAAGGCACTGGAGACACGAGGCTCAGATGTGTCGCCTGTGGGAACGTGTGGTGATCATGTGACTTGGCGTATGAAAACAACATCTACTATTGTGTCAGTTGGTGCACACTCACTGGAAATACGGTTTTATCTCAGCCTCTGTTTCATTGCGTTTTAATGCCGCTATGAAATTAGTGCTTCTCCACTTTTTCTTTGAAGACATTTTTTCTTGTACTTCAATATATAGGCTGAAAATGGCTTAATAAAAATGAAATATATGTCATTTTTAAATTCCATGGCATTGTTTCATTAGTTATTTTTCTTATGTTAATGTAAATATTTGATGCCAATCTCAAATTTTTTATTGTAAATGAATTATTGGGATACAGGTGCAGTAAAAATTGTGTAAATTGCTATTTTGTGTTTCCCATCACTGTCTTAAATTCATGTTTTGTTGTTATACTTCCTATACAAGAGCCAACAGTGGCATTAAAGACAATATATCAAGGAGGAAGTGTTGATGAAGAGAAAAAAAAAACAATCTTGTTGGTAAACACATCAAAATATCAGCCGTTTTCTTGATAGACTGCAAGTAAAAATATTTAGTTAAACTATGAATGATCTTATTTTTTAACAGTTTAGCACCTTGAATTGGAATTCTAAATGAAATGGATTAAAAGCTGACTCTCACTGAGAAAATGTAGATTAAACTACTCTGCAGCATCATGTAGGCTTTCATAGAAGTGCCTGATTTAAATGTTTTCTACCCTGTTGCTGACCGATGATCCGTGGTAAGTGTACAGGTGCAGAACTGGAAACAAAAATGGAACTGGAAGTGAGGATTTACCTGGATAGACAATGAAAAAAAAAACTTTCATGAGTCCTGTCCACTGTGAGGTTAGGTTTATCAACACTATAACACAAAAACTGTAAATTATAAAAACACTCCAGTGTTTAAACTGGAGTGTGCAGTTTATATACGGCATTAGAGTCCAGATTTTTTAACAGTGATGAAAAGATTGATGTTGTTATTTTTTTAGTGTAGGTTATATTATTTGTTATTTCTATGCTTACTTTTTTAGTAAGCATAGTACTTTTTATTTAATTAATTTTTATACCTCCTTAGAATCCACTGAGTTCTAGCAATTCTAACACTATGTTAAGAGAACATTTTTCATAAGCAAAATATAGTCTGACAACACAATGTTAAGGGGGTTATGTTTAGCTCCTTGTAAACCATCCTAATAATAATTTTGTTGCACCCAAATTTGTCTGCTTCTGTTGTCCAGAATCATGCAAAAAGACAGCATTACTACATAATATTATAGAAATTAATGTTATAGTCTACACATCAGCTTTTCACTGAAAAGAATATATTTGTGCTTTTCCAATATACTCTGTCCAAGGCACACCAAAGCGTGAACTGAAAGATTAGGACTAACGTCTGTAATCAGTTCTTCTTTTGACTGGGCTGTCAGATGACGGGACACAGCACCTGCACCTAGGTGTCAGAATTAAGGACCTAAATGCAGGACTCCAGGCAGACTAAATATTTAAAAGCAAACCTTTCATGAGGCACGCACAGGAACAGATATAGACACCACAACAAAGACCAAGGGAAAGGGGCAGGACTATTTATACACATAGGGTAATCAGGAAAGTGGAGAGATCTGGAAGGAACGAGACACAGGTGAAGACCAAAAAAAAAAATCACAGCAGAGGAAGTAAAATTCAATTTTAGACACGAGACAATGTTAAATTAGGACATTAAATTCAAAACATGACCATACCCAGGCAGCTAGGCTGAGAGAAGCAAGGTTTTTTGCTTCACAATAAGCTCCACTATCATATACTTTGCCTCCATAATTAAAATAATAGTTAAATCAATAGTTTTTAAAAAAAGGTATTGTTGTTTCTTAACATTTATTTTGGCATTGCAGTAGCCATACACAAAAATGTCTTTTAAACTTAAATAAATGAAATCAAAATAAACATAACTGTTTTTTGGCAGGGGGTCTGTTGGATCTTCATATAAAAATACCAAACGTTACCATGAAGAAAAATCCCTGTGCCTTTAACATTACATAATATTTGAACAAAACTGTGGCAAATAAACACAAAAACTAAGAAGTTAAAAAATTTATGCAAAAAATACAAAAATATTACATGTGAAATTTCCTTTAAATTATTATTAAAAGCGACCCTTTTCTATTTCATTGTGACTTTAAAGAGTCCACTCTGCACTAAGGCTTGGCACACACCTAGCCCAAGGCTGCTGAATTGTTGTTTTTTTGTTTTTTTTAAGCATCCACTCTCTCAGCACAAAAAGAGCACAAATCTTATACTTAGAAGTCAGAGGCAAATCCTCAGAGTATATATCACCAACTCCAGGCATCAAACCCTTCAGAAGCCACCTGGAAACATGTGCCTGGTGGACCCCCCAGCTCGATGATAATGACACCCTGGAGCCAGAAACATGTGCTGACATGGAGCCAATGTTTTGGAGACGCCAAAGTTTGGCAAGTGACATAAAAGAACTGATCCCGCTTTGAGGTGAAAATCATTTAAAATGCCCTTGAAAGACCATAGATGCGGGTGGTGTAGAGGAATATCATTCAAGTCTGCTGGTCAAGAGCAACCATATATACTGTAAATGATCTCCAAAATATATACAGTACACAAATTGGCATAATTGCATAATGCTTGATACTATGAGGGATCAAAGTTTTCAGGAAGGGTTTAGTTTAACTGCATACAACACTTATGCATGAGAAGTAAAACTAAATGCCGGAAGAGTCTGTGCTGCTAAAGATGATTAATGAATGAGATGGCTGATATTGTGATGACCCGCTGCTCGCTTAAAATGCAGCATCCAAGCAGACCTTGAGGCAGCTCGTACCTCCCAGGTAAGAAATCACGCCAAACTCACTAAAATAAAATATCAAACTTTGACGGCTTTTGTATGCTTTTAGATTTCAGTATTCCATGAGGCATTCAGAGCTGCTGCTTCTTTCGGCTCACAATTCAAACACCAAGCAGCATGCATTTAACTTAAATCCAACTTTAACTTCCTTTAAACCAAAGCGATTTACAGCTGTAGTGAGCATATCCTACTTTAGGAGTTAATTATTTTTTATCAGACGAATAAATGTTGCCTTAAATGGACCCCGAAAGTACAAGAACACCCAGGAGATCCACTAAGAAATGTCAGTCTTGTTGTGCTCGTTAGACATGTAAACCGACACAAGTTTAATTGCTAAACGGGCAAATTTCCAGTGGAGTTTGGTGCCCAGTTCTCACACCAGAACAGCAGGTACAGGGTCTTACCCAAGGGTTGAAGAGAGAGTGCAGAGGAGGCCTCCTAAAAAAGGATCCTTACCTTTGTTAGCTGTGCTATCTTCTTGCTCATCTTCAGGTGTAGGTCTTGGGTATATTCCATGGCGATGCCGGACTGAAAAGACATGCTGGATGCCGAGGATGTGCTAAATTTCCCCTGACCGGCAGGGCAGTAGCGCTGCTGCCAACCCGACCCAGTCGCCATCTTCACGATGATGCCTCAGATGCTCGAGAAAGATATGGGCAGTAATTACAATAATAAACTGGACGGTGCTAATGAGCGGTGTGTAGGACTGGGACTGTGGAGGATTTATGTTTTTGCCGAAAAAAAAATCAGAAATATGAAGCCTTTTGAGCCCACAGACTGTTAAGAATTGGTTTCATTTTTGCTTCTGTCGGGGTAATAGTACACCAGAGGGGTGAAATGAGTAATTTTAAGGTCCGGAAACATGAGCTACTACCATCTTGTCCGTTATGCGTCCGTTTTCAGCGGGTCCAGTCTGCTGTCACCTGGCGCTGATGTGCAGCCGTTTCCAGGGAGCTGGTTGGCGGGTTGGCTCCCGGTCGGTCACCTTGATACAGAAATTTGTCAGCGGCAGCCGTTAACAGTGATTCCTCCCCGGTGCATTCCGGCTACACTGAGGAAGAAGTGAGTAGAGACTGGGGTTATGTGTGTGTGAGCGTGTAGGACAGGCTCGGCGGTTGGCTGCTGCTCCTCTGTTGCCATGGATCACCTCAACAGTTTATGCTGCATTCACGTAGGATGGGAGCAGCGCTGCATTCACGTGCAGTCGGACAAAACGAAACGTGCTCACGTACAGCTTGCCAACACCAAAATACGGTTACTATAAGTAACTACGCTAAAAGTAGGTGTCCATTTTAGTTAACGGAAATAAAAATAATATCGTTTACGATTTTTCGTTCTTAAAATATAACAAAAATGAAATAAAATATAGAAGAAATGACGCTGATCGCCTAAGCAGCCTTTGAGACTTTGATTCATTACTTTATTGAGACGTGTCAACAGCTTTTTAAAACTTCACAGGCTTCATTGAAACTAATCTGAATCCAAGGCATAAAGTAGAAATACAATCTAATTAGGCTTTAAATTAGGCAAAACCAAAAAAAGTAATGACTTATACAGTCTTTTCACTGCATGCCAAAGCACATCTTGACTCATATTTGCAGATGCAGATATAAGTGCCTTATGTTGTCTACGGTTCTTATTGATTTCCAACTAAGCTTTTGCCTCTTTAGCATTAGTTAACTTTGGACAACAACTGATGCACTCATGATTAAAATCAATTTACCTTTCCATTTCGTTTGTCTGTTTGTTCTCTTGTTTTCTTTCTCCACAAAGTGATCCGTTATTACCACCCGCCATAGTTTATCCTTTTGGCTGTTGTTTGGCTGATGCTAAATCCCATCATCTGGAGTTGCCTTGAGGCACACAATTGGAAAACCACTTAAAAATGTAAAAAGTAAAATGGAAATGGAAAATTAGAAAGTGCATAGAAACGCAGTTGCACCCAAGATGGGTCTGAAGAAGTTATAAAAGTCTTTTATTTTAGTGGGCTGCAGAAGGCACAGGCTGATTTTCATGACTGCACTTTTTTAAATGTCTTTTAAAAATGCACATATATCTAAAAGTCTTGGAAAGTCTGTTTCACAGGCATCCATGACAACTGTATGACAACTCAACAGCTGAAGAGACAGTTTAATATTTTACTACTTATCCCATACACCCAGTTTTTCCTCTCCCCATTTTTTCAGCGATGCCTCGCCTAAAGCACAGCCTCTGGCCCAGCTCATTGCTTTTCATTCATCTGTCATCTTCATTATTGATAAGCGTTTATCATTTGTATTCGGGGATGTGGTCCTTGCTGGTGAAAAGAAAAGTAGAAGATCTTTAATCATGTAATTTACCCATAATGTACAGCACAGCCTCCTGACCTGAAACTGGCTGCACACAAAATGAAATTTCCCTTTCCAGTTGCATCACTTTGAGACATTGTGCTATAGCCGTATGTCCCTTTTTAGTTCAGTGGCTCTCTGAAGCCAAGAATTTATTGAGTTTGTCTGTCGGGCAAACTAAAATATGTATTTGGCCTGATTTGGCCCATGGGCCATGATATCAAGACTATAAAAACAAAAAGCAAGATGTACGGAACTAACAGCAGTGATTTCAATTTAAACCTACTTTGAGGAAATTAATAATCACATATCAAGTTGTCTGAGATGTAAACCTATTCAAGATGACCTCACGTATCATGAAGACTGAGACAAAAGCAATTAGCTATGTTATGCAGTGCAGGTTCAAGCCAATTATATGGACTCAATTACACCCACTTAGACTCAGTAATTGGAATTAATTAAACACCTATCAATCAGCAATCGACCAAAGACAGTGCCTCATTTCCCATTAAAACATCATCAAAAGAGGTGGCATAAATTCTAAAAAGACCCAGCAGGAAAAATTAAGTCTCAAATCTGTTTTTAGCAGTGTTGGGACTAACGCGTTATTAAGTAACGCGTTACAGTAACTACGTTATTATTGTGGTAACGAGCACGGTAACTAGTTATTATGCCAAAATCAGGAACGCGTTACTCGTTACTGGGATTTAGATAGGGTCGTTACTCGTTACTTCGGTGGTGGCTATCGCGGAGCTTCCACAGATTCAGTAACATTAGCAAGTGGGATGGATGAGGAAAGGGACGCAGAAGGAAAAGAGACCCGAGGCGGCCGCCGGTCCAAGTGTGAACTGAACTTCAGGTAAGAAGTTATGACCTGCAGTCTCTCTGGGTCAGATATGAACCAAGTTTAGGTGGAGTTTATTTTCGTTATTCTGACTTTTTCCGTACTGCGTGCTAGCTAGCATGACGGAGTTTCTATACAGCTGGGTGGTGCTATGAAGTTATGATGTTGAACTTTATTTTGTTCATAAGTTATTAGAGTTGCCAACCGTCCCGTCTGGTATTCAGAGAAAATATTACGCGTTTCTTATTGAGGTGAAAAGGAACAGTTTGTCCCGTAATTCAGCTACAATGAAAAAGGCACAAAGCTGGAGTTATTCTGTGTCTTTGCTGCACAGCTGCCTCTTCTTCTTTCATCCTCTCCCCTCCCTCTCCCGTTTCTACTTCAATCGTGAAACTGATCAATGATCAGCTGATCGGCTCTCTTGTTTGTTTATCGCTCACTTTGCGCCGAAAGAGGAAACCAGCGGATGTCGCGCTAAACAACAGCAGCACGTTTAAGCTTGATCAGCTGTTGTTAGAATTTATTTAATATTAATTTCTAGTATCAGCTGATGTTTGCTGGAGCCACAGCTGCAAAAAAGCTGCTGGTCATGATATGGTTTGGTTATCTGGTGAGAGGGAAACATGAAGATGAAACCAGGAGATGTCCTTACTGAATCATCAGAGCTGAACAGGTGATGGAGAAACAGGTTTACCTTTTAGGTGACATGAATGAGTTGAAGGGAAGTTATGAACTGTTTCTGAGAGACAATAACACCAGGATCCTTTTTTAGGTAGCTGACAGCTGGTAACTGTGCAGGGGCGGGTCTAGCAAAGTGTTGCCAGGGGCCAGTGTAGGGCATTAACAGGGAGAGGGGGGCACAAAGAATACTTTTCTTTCTTATTCTCATTTAAAATGTCTAGCTTTTAAAAAATAATTATCTGAATCTTACAACAAACGATTGATAGATTGATGCATATATACCATCAGAACAGTGTACATCACTGTCACAACAGGTTTATTTTCATTCAAAGGCTTTATGATTTTTCCTATAATGGTGGGCCGGTCTCTAGTCAAAATGCCCGGGCCAATTTTCTGTCCCAGTCCAGCCCTGTATGCAGCTCATCTGCAGTCTGGTGTTACCTACATCTTCCTATTCAGAAGGCAGAATTTCTGAGTTCTGAGTACAATCGAAAGCACCACGACTGCAGTTTTTGTGTTGGATGTAAAAGGCGCACATGACGCTGTGACGTAGGCTAGAATCATGGCAGCAGTCAATGACGGTCCAGGCGTGGGATTTCTCTCGTGGAAATATGCACATTATCTTTTCCTTTCTATTGGTAGGTGGCACAGTGCACTTGTGGCAAGTAAGCAATCTAGAAGACTGGCAAAGTTATGGAAGCAACACATTAACAAGAGAATTCTGAGTAAAACCAAAGTTACTTTCCCTAGTAACTAGTTACTTTGAAAGTAACGAGTAACTTGAAGTAACTGAGTTACTTTTGAGAGAAGTAACTAGTAATGTAACTAAGTTACTATTTTAAAGTAACTTACCCAACACTGGTTTTTAGGAATTAAGAAAGTAACCAAAAGGCCTCAAATCTCAGAGATACATTTTCTATTTTCCCCTCCTTCCTAAGGGTGTCAGTGTTTGAGATAAAGCAGGTAGCACAGGCAATTCAGAACTGTCATATTGTCAAATAGCCAGAAAAAGGGGTAGGTTGCCCTTTGACACCTATTGAAGCAGTGATGGGTGGCCGTTCTCACAGAGAGATGACAGCATGCTTTGGGTGTTGTTTTTCCACTATGAGAAATGAAACAGGTAGCAGGTAAGGGGGTTTATGCTCAGTGGAGCTTAATTTTGACAAGTGTAGGTGCACGTTCCTGTATTTCATGGTTATGACACATCTGTTTTGTCATTTACATCTACTGAGATGTGTCTACAATTTTAATGATACCATTATTTGCTGCTCAGTGACTTTAGTTTTCACAATTAGGTCATGTCTATGAAGTATTCACTATATTCTAATCATCATTGCACTAACAACACTTTTTATTTTAAATATTACATGTTATAAGTCTTAATAAAGCATGATGTTCCATTATCCTAAATGTCTACATCCATTTGCATAAAGCTCAAAAAGATGGCGGCATGTTTTACCCTGACCTAAGCTAAAAGCATGCACATGCATATTCGTGCCAGATTATTCAGGTACAATGCACCATTTCTCTTCATACAATGACAAATACACAATGGACTATTGAATTACTGAAGCCTGGGCCATTTTTATTTGTGCCTTGGCTCCAGTAATCCTGGCTGACCTGGAAAAAGTCTTACACAGTAATACTTTCACATTAGTTTGTGTATTTACTGAGGTTTTCGCAATAATCGGTGATAAAATTCTGCAAATTAAGCTTTTCAAAAGTTAAATGGGGAAGATGGCATATGAGCATGTGCTCCTCCCCTTCCTCAGCTTGCACGCTATTGCATGTTTTTGCAAAGATCAAAACCTGGCCCACCATCTGGTCTCCACGCAAATGTCAAGTCTCACCATGAGACCTCCTGTTTAGCCCCAAAGATCACAAACAACTAAACATGACACACTTGAAATGAAGTCGATTTCCACAAAATCTTAGAAACACCTTCTCAAAAGGTGTAGGAGTGACACTCAGCAGTGTTTGAAGAATGAAAGAATAACATACAATGAACCTTTTAGATGAAATAAATCTGCAGCAGAATTTCTATTTTTACTCTTGTGCATGTTCGTTTTTACTCGCACATACCAGCTACTCTCACTAAGGAGGTCATATGAAGCACGAGTTTCTTCCATGGCACATGAATGCACCAAGCTGAATTTCAGTGACGTCATTTCATCATTCAAAGCTTAAGAGGAGGAAGAGGAATAAAAATTTAAACTGACTGGCTCGCTGCAGGCAGTATATCTCACATAGTCATAATCACAGGGATGACGCAAATAGTTTTTCTTATGCTTTCTATTTAGGGTTTCTCACAAGCTTTGCAAGAGTGT